AAAATGTTAATAATTGAATGAGATTTGTGTTCTGCAATTAAATTGCTTTGGCTTGCTTAATAACCCACACGAGGGCAAAAATTATTCCTACTCTCGACACTCTAACCGACACCTACTACCTATTTCAAACTTACGACACTAAAAGCCATAAGTAACTAGACATTTATTAATCTTCTGTAACTTTTAGATAAAATATTGGAGCTTTTTTCTATGTTAAGGACCCTGGTACGTTGTCATAAACTGCATCGTGGTCGCCGCGTTGGTGTTATCCGATTACGCTACTCTGATACATGAAAGGGCCGTGAAGACCGGATTGGCAGATGTGTTTATCAGAATTGGTACATTATTATTGTGGTTGTTAGACAAGTAAGCGTGTGTAAGCTGAAAAAAATGCCAATGTCTTTTTGATAATGCGGGTTGCCTTAGTAGAAGTAGAAGTGATGAACTAGCTGTAATAATGTGTTTAACTGAAAAAAGAATGATATTTCGGAGCTTAAAGCCTAATATATGCAACTCCTAGTAGTTATACTGATCAGTTCACGTCCAGACCACCTCTAAGGAACCGTCGATACTTGTTATAGAAAAATTTTTTTGTAATCCTATAATTTTTTATTTTCGCCGTTCCAGCACTTTATTGCTGGTGGTGGGAACGCTACACTAAACTATAGGAGACTAATGGATATATTGTGGTACTTAAAGGTTTGCGTTAACTAAGGCTATTTATATCCTGAAGCACTCGAAATGTGAATTTGAACCATGATCAGAAGTAATGGGAATGGAATCACAATATTTGAGACAAGAGAGGACAAATATTTTTCTTTATAGATAAATAGACCAATAAGGAATCATCGATGTGTAAATCGAAGACTCAATGATTAAGGTGTGAGTTAAGCCGTTTGCATGTCGAAAGCACGCATTTTAGAAGAAAAAATCTTTGCTAAAATTAAGGTCAAAATATTTATCTGTGCTAATATTAAATACAAAGTTTGGTTCTAAACGATCTATCGCCGAATTCACAGTACTAGTAAAGCCAATAAGTTAATGTAAGTAAAAATGCTTAAATGCACGCTTTCTAAATTTGACAGGAACATGGTGTCTGGGTCCGCTGGTTAAAAAGTCTCATGTTTTTAAGTAATAGAGAGGAACTTATCAAACTTGCGGGTCTAGGCAAAAATTTCGACAAAGTTGTCATACTTTTGCGTCCTTAGTATGCTCCTAATTCGACTGTCCCGGATTAATAAAAGGTGATGATATGATTAATTTATGCTTTAGGCAGTCTGTCGGCAGCGACGTTGGAGTCATATGATCATGACTTAAATTTTGCAGCAGGAATCGTAGGTTTTGTTTAGTCAAAATAATCAAACCAACGAATGTGCTGTGCTGAGTTTGCGTAGGTCGATATTGTTAGGTTAATCTGGTTGTAGGAGTGCATGCATAGAAGTATGAGAATCACTATACTCCATTTTTTCCTGAATTAGCAAATGCATCTTTTGATTTTTTCGAAGCAGGTAGCTTCGAGGGTACACTTTGCTAGAGAACTGAGGTGTGATTCTGGGGTTTGGTACTCCAAAAGTTATGCTGTTTTTTTAAGCCAAAGTCAGGTACTGTCTGGATTGATGTTGTATACGGAATGTTTAATTATATGGGTTGTTTGCAATTTGTCATAAACAAATTGAAACTATTGTAAGTGTAAGCAAATCAGTCGCTATTAATTGAGTGCCACTGTGACAGTCTAAAAAAGTGACACGTAAGTACCACTGAAAACTAATTAGAATGACGATGACTGTTTTGACCATGTCCTCGGGAGTCTCAAGCATGTGATGGTCTGTGCGCACAGGGTCCATTTATGTAAAAACTTCGTTTTTACTGTGGAAAATCGAAACCCTTAGTGACGCAGGGAAGATGAGTGACGACGGAATGGAACAATTTAGTGAATATAAATGTTGATGGGCTAATAGAGTCCTAAATCCGCTCAGACCAGCCTTACCAGTAAGCAATCATTCAAAGGCTTAGCCTGCAGTGCCATCTATGAAAAAGTAGAATATAACCACTTTCATCTATTCATCAAGGAGGCGAGTTGTACACGTCTTGAATTGTAGCATCCAACTTTTGAATTCGCGACTGTCAAGCCTTGCGAGAAATACACGAGCTCTGTTAGCATGCTAATTAAAAAAAACAAACAGGCACAAATAATTTTGGCTACGACAATTAAGAGACAACGTTGCTTGCCTAAGACAGTTGTCAGTATTGCTGATCGATTATCGCGTTTACAAAATATGCTTTAGCATAGCTTGATGGGCTTGAGGTGATGGCTTATTAATTTATGGGCTTGCGCATTGTTGTCAAAGCTATGATGATGCTAACCCAGGTCCAATTGTTTTCCTGGTTGAATGCACAATCAAAACAAAAAATCTTTCCATCGTTGTGCCAGTCCAAATAACAACCCCTTCATTTTCAGTGAGCAGTTGGTTTTTTGCTTTGGTAACCTCATCATATCTAAATTGTTCTGTTTGCAGCTAAGCCAGGAGAGATGGCTTGACATTGTACCTCCTAAAAGTAGCACTCATCTTTTTATCAGTCATGCAGATAAGCGTCTCCAGAGGTGTGCGAGAGCTATGGAAGAAAATATTTAAAATAACGTTGTCCAGCAGGCCTCCAACCCATAACTGGTATTGAACTCAGTCGTTGACTTACCATTAAGCCAAAAAACGTGTGTTGAAGTATTGATGAAGAAAACGTATTACTAAGTCCAAAAAAAGTAGAAGATGTGAGAGCCAAGACACCCTTGTGTTAGTTGTTCGCTTGAAAACAGTGGTCATTAGATACTCATTGGGACCCTCAGATTGTACCATATCAAGCAAGTCAATGACTTCAGCTGTTATATTCCCTGGTAACAAGATAAACACATTGAATAATAGGGGCCAATCACCTTAGTTTGAAAATGAGTCGATAGTTTCTTAAAATGTGACGAGGAAATCTGCCATATAGGCTGTTTTTCAGCCATTGTTTTAAACTATAGGGTCATTAATTTTTTACATTAGGTACTTTTTATACCTCTCAACGAAATCCCCAATGGAGATTACCACTTTTAGTATTTGTTTATAAGTCCGCAGAATATTAACAGCTAAAAAACCTGTAAGAAGGTTGAAATTGAGAAAAACAGTTGGAACTGAAATGACTGTTTATTCGCGTCATTATTTGTGTATTTACTTCAAAACAATAGGCATATAATTGCATAATTTTGCCACATACATAGTAAAAGTTACATTCGATCTACACACCTTGACCAGAAAAAGGGTATACACGTGGGTTCATTGGCAAATACTTAATTTATAATTTTGTTTTTGAATTAAATGATAGTTAATGTTGGTATTGCAAAGCAGCACTTGCTGACTAGTTTCACGTATGTTTGAACCGTAGTTTGATATGTTAGCTTAAAAAAATGATGCTCCTCTTAAATCCAAACATGTGTTAAAATTATTTTGTCAGTTTTCGCATCGAAACAGATTTTATAGCTACACCTTTTGCTCAAACGCTGAGATTACTATCGAATAGTATACGCGTTTACCTTCTTATCCCGTCGTCGTCATTAAGGATAATCTGTTGAACGTTCTTCAATTTAATAAGAGATTTTTGGAATTTGTTACGAAAACTCTTTGCCCATATTCTTCTCGCCAAAGGTTTAGTTTTTTTAACAAGCAAATCAACTTTAATTTAAAGACTATTCACAAAGTGACCCCACGTAATTATCTTCGAATTCAGAGGGAATTTGTAGGTTGAATGATGTATAAATATTTTAATCCAAGTTGTCGTCTCTGATAATGGACACTTTCAAAAAAATAATTAGTATAGGCACTAATAGGGAGGGTAACTCGTTAAAAGATAACCATGACGTTTAGTAAAATGACAAGATGTTTTGTATCAACCTACCAATTTTGGTTAAAGAAATTTATATAAAGACTTAGTATATTATTTTCAGTTTAATCATCCTTCAGGATTTGCATCTAGAACGATGAATTTGAATGACCCACTTACTTCTGGCTCGATTTCAAGCGTATTTTGATAAAAATTTACCGTTGTCAGGCGCATTTGAATAAAATAAAAGACTGATTTGTATAGATTTTAATAAGGCCTTTGATTTATGATAGCCATGAATTTGGTGAAAGGTTGCATGTTTATGTTTTCTAAATTCGATGTACCTTAAAAAAATAAACTGATTGAATCATACCTCAGTTATAATTTAATCACTATTTGCTAAATTGTTTAAATTTGCCATACTTAGCTGTTGGAACGCCTTGTATTATGCTATCCTTGATTATATCTTTTGGTAATGTCTTTTGACACCGCAAACTGTAGATTACATGTCCCAATTATATTCATTACACGTGTAGTCTTGGTCTCTATTTTTTGCAGCATATCGTATCTTTGTTTTTCGTATAATTTTCCGTAACCTACTACTACAATTGGTCTACCGGTATTTAACCATTCTGCTTCCGACAAGCTATTTTCAGAGCTATGTGACTTTTTCTCCCACTTTTCAATTTTATGTGTAATGATTCTTTACCAGACTTGTCTCGTCCATATAGGTCGGTTGTTATGAATTTCACAGAATATAATTTTGGCACGTTTCTCCAGATGGAATTTGCACATAAGTTGTTTATCGATCAGTAATGTCTTAAAACTAATGAAAGGGCCTGTTTATAATTACGACATGGTGCTTTTCGGTCCCGTGTGGTCAATTCATCAATTTTCTTATGATGCCAAATTCATGCCTTTTCAAATGCGGAAATTTTAGATTTTAAAGCGTTGCTACCTACGTGCTAGCTATTCTGAAACCAATTACCTATGGCTTTTAAGACTAGTTACTAGCGAGACAATTCTGATGAGTGCCCATTGTGGTTCATAAAAAATAAAGTGGGATTTACCATGGTAAAGAAATATATGTTTATTTGTGGTCGGCTGATAAATCTGTGGCATGATGAGCACATTACTGATTGGTTATGTATGCCTTTCTCATCTCAGTGACCATTGCTGCACTCATAGAAGTCTGGGTCAGTTGTCGAGTTGGTACATTTCTGGTGAGTGCAGCCTGTAACAGGGCACCTCACGGATGTTCTGCTTCTATTAGATCCGGGCAGCCTTTGGCGTCAGTCGTCGTGGCTTGGCCACAGGAAAGCCATCATTAGCAACTCTGGTTACACACCTCCAAGAAGTTGTTGATCGCTGGCCCGTGGACACAGCCAAGGGTCACCGCGATGTCCGTATTCATTTGCAACAGCGTGCTCGTGACTTGATCGCGGAAAAGTCACCGGAAAAGCTCAACCACGAGGCCGACTGCTTGGAGCGATTAACGAAAAATGTCCACCGGGACCTGCACCACCTGCCCCAAGGACTTGGTGGCGCTCCACCCGTCGTGGCTGCAACTGGACTAAATCTCCAAACCATTTCAACAGTTCTTGCAAACAAAAGTGATGCCGTGCCCAAAGCCTCTTTTTTTTCCCGGGTCATGCGCTTCTTCAGTTAAACACTTATTATGCTCAGGAACTCTGTATACATCGTTTCTAATCAACTCTCCTCTTACATCTTCTCAGCAAACGATTGGTGTCTCCATTCAGCACGGCTGATTAAACGGAATCGAACGGGAACAGCAAGGTTGTGAGGTTGCCGCCCATCGGGTTCCAAGCACACACTTGACGACCCGTTAAGGCAGGTAATGAAGTTGATCCCGCCAAAGGCGTGCACAAAGTACGGAATAAGACTGTTGATGTGTAGACATATATTGACATCATTATCATAAATAGTAGAAACAGAGAGCCACTGATGGTCTTGTAAATATATACAGAGCGGTGCGCGAGGGATGAGCATGCAGGAGCATTCACACCAGCAGGGGGGAGGAAAGTACACTGACAGAGAAAGGATATTAGCGATGACAATATTTAGTCGGACTGGCTGTCCATGAATGCCTCTTGAATCTCCTTAACCATTTTAATGCGATTCAGCATAATCTGCAGGTCTCCAGCTGTCATCGGGGTGTCTGAAAACCATGTCGACGCGGAAGGCTCAACTAACGGCCTCAGGTAGAGTGATCCACCGTTGGCTATCACCGCCTGAGGGCTAAAATCGACAAAAATTAATACGTCATCGGACCTGTGACGTCAATATACAGGGAAAGCCAAAACGAAGAACCCGGAGCGGGAAGCCTCGTGGAATTGCATAAATAGGCATAGTTTAGAAAACCATGATGTGAAACGCGGCGTAACTTAGCCGTACGAAAGTTCACACGGGAAACCGCATGGGCCAAGACTGCGTGCGAATAAAAGTAGCATTCGGGTTTTAGACACGGGAAGTGTTTGCTAGTGTTGTATCCACAAAGATTTGCCTGTTATCTTCGGGTTATTCTCACTGCGCATTTTTGTAGGAGGATTGTATCAATCAGCATGCCAAACTGGTTGCAGTGATTTTCGGTATCCTCCATAAATGGGAAATGTCTGAGTCATCAAGACCGAGACGTGTGAATTGTGGCAATAGGATCATGAACACAGCATGTCGTTGAGAAGCAATAGCGTTCAAAGTATAAATACTGCGAATGGCCTGAAAACGCTAATAAGGCTCAACGATTGCGCGTAAAATGGACCGTTTACCAACTGTTGGCGTGCGTAAGAAGACAAAGGAAAAGTAGTGCAAAAAAGTAGAGTTCAAGAGCCTCAAAATGAGCGTTAAAGCAGAGATGTCATGCTCAGGGCGAACGAAAAAGTGTTTGATAAAGAGCGTCCATTTAGCGCTATAAGCTCACCACTTTTTAAGGTAGGTGCGGTAGAGACGGACAGGACATCGAGATAGCTGTTCGGCACTGACAAACATTCGGTAGGAGTCGCTACCCTCTGTAGGCACGAAGAAGATGCTTTCGATGGATGGCTGCTCCCGCTTCACCTTAAAGTTGACGAACCTCAGTTGGGCGTGCTGGTCACCGGTTCTCAGCCACAGGTGTTTTGTGATGAAGTAGAGAAGGCTGAAGAGCATTATCTGTGGAAGGAAGTGCAAAAAGCCACACTAGTCATTGGAATGCCAGAAGTTAAATTTCAAGGCATAAAGTAGATTCGCCCTCTTAAAACCCACAATGTCATTATGTAAAATTTTTGATTTAACCTGAATTGTAGTCAAAGGATTTCCACTAACTGTGACTTACGGCGAAAGGACTATTGCTGCCAAAACATCCGGACAAGAACACGTTGCGCTCATTTCCGAAAAGATACTTGACAATGGTTAAAGGCAGTTATTTTTTTAAACAGCAGTGGTTTCAGTTATGATTGAATACCGGTACCAAAAGGAAATAGGGATAACGACCCAATTTTTTCAATCATTTCGTGGACACCTTACCAAAAATTAATTTGGTAACCGAGGTTAGTTGCTAAAAACTCTAACGAAATCAACAACAATAGGACAATCTATATGACAACGTTATTTCTGTTTAACCCTTTGTTCTACCATATTTGTTTCGGTGACAGCAATTTGAACTGATTGATAGTGAAACGAACGAACATACTAGCTACGTGTTTGCTATTTAACCTTTATTGTCTACTGTTTATCGTCGCAATATTTACTATATAGGATCGCCTTTTGCTCTTCATCTAATCCGGCGTGCTTACCCGACATTGCAGAACCCACCATTGTTATTATTTTGTTCATCTAATTTCGGGAAAGTAAGTGGACTCAGGGATTCGACAGTCGACGCCTAATTTCTCGGGCACCAATTACCAAACCAAAAAAAGAATTTAGAACCAAATTGCGAGGTTATTTTAAAGAAGTGGAAATCATCAGACGATGCCAGCATGCGCTGCCGTCAGAAGACCGAGCAAAACATTAACACGATTTTTTATCCATGAGGCTTCGAATCTACCAATTTTCCACCAAGAGACAACGCTATGAACCCAAAAGCCTGCTGAAGAAATCTCGGATTTTAAGGACTGAAAAATGACATTAAGGGATCTGAGGATGCTGGCAGAATTAAATTCGCTTTTAAGGAAACATCCACCTGGCGGTAAGCCTAACCATTGTGGAAAAAAAATGCAAAAAAAAGAACGTGCGTGTCAACTTTGGTAAAATTTTAACGCTAAACAATCGACAAGGCAATAAACAATCACGTAGTATATTAAGCTGAAATATTAAACCAACGTTAGGAGAATCCGCGCCGAGTTGACGGGCTTCCCAAAGGTGTTCTTCCTCGATTCGGCAAATAAGCAAGCCCTCAGGGCTGATCCGGGGCTGGAAGTCGGCCAGAACAGTATCCAGAGCCCTGGCGAAACTAGCGAATCGCGGTTCGCCAAAGAGGTTGATTATACGCCCATTCTCGTTCAAGTACTCTTGAATTCCTATTGCCAAAAACTGTGCCAGTCAATGTAAACATATGAAATAACTAAACAAGACGACAACATTCAACACAGGCCCCTTAACAGAAACAGATGTAAGTTTTAAGCTAAAGAAAAATATGCCTGCAAAATCAAAAAAACAGTCAGATTTAGATTTGAATCTACTCGACTAAATCAACGACAACAAGCGGTCAAACTCTAGACAGGAGCCATTAAATCTAAACTCAAAGCAACACGTAAAACAACATCGCCAAAAGCACATACCTAGACACAGGTAGAAGATCGAATCAGCCACGTAGGTTTCATTGTTTGGTTTGCGCACCTCATGAACGAATCTAGTGAGTGCCGCGTTGAGCTCATCATCAGAAGCATCGAGCAGCTCAGCAACCACCTTGGGTTGCGAAGTGTGGCTTGCCCAGTGGCGCCAAGCGTTTATGCCGTAGGAGAATTTGAGGTGGTAGGTTGCGTCGCTCGTGGTTGTGGGTGTGCGGTGAGGTGGTGGTGGTGGCGGCTGTGCGACGAGTGGCGCTTCAGGTGACTGACGCTGACGCTTACTTGGGAGCACCTGGTGCTGTGGAGCTGCTGCTGCTGCTGCTGCAGGTGCGAACGAAGTTAGCGAGTCTCTTGCAGCTCGTTTTTGCTGGAGAGGCTTTGAAGTAGCCTCAACCGACGTCTGGGCCTGGGTTATGTGGATCAAAAATGATTACGACAGTGATATGTACTCAATTGTTCCATATATAACGACAACAGGCCATTAAAATCTAATTGTGTAATTAAAACCGCAGCAAATGGAACTTAGACTATTCTTAGGATATAATACATTGTGTCACCAGACGAAATTAACCATATAGCTAGGTGAAAACGTGAGTGACTACCACGCATTCCAGACCAGTTCGAAAAGGGAATTCAAAGAGGCAAGTCGGCTTACAGGCTTGGTGGCCTGACCCGGTTCGGGCTTCAGACGATCCTTCTCATATTCCGATTCTACAATGCCACCGGTAACTTCGTCACCTTTGAGAACAAGGGGCAGCGGCACCACGCAGGGCAAAGGGAAGGGCAAAGCGAATGGAACAGGGCGGGCGTAAAGGTAAACTGGCACAGGAACGTATATCGGCACGGGAATTGGAATGGGCACATACTTGACCTTTTCCCCATCTTTTTTCTCGTCTTCCTTACTACCCACATCTTCGACCTTATTAGTATCATCTAAATACAACAAATATTATGCAAAGCACCGTTAGAAAACGTTTGTACAACGACAATATATACTTTTAAAAGACACAGCAGCCACTAAGTGATCACATTTAGATTTTAGTAGACTATGGCAAAATTTACGAAAGATGGAATGATTTTACCGTTTTTGGCTTCTACTAATGATAATAGAAGCAGTACGAAAATAGACCCGATCCTTAAAAAAAGCACAGTAAAGGTCATTTGCATTTTGCCCTTTGGATTTCTTTTAAAATGAGTTGGTAATTAAATTATAATAAGCGTTGGAGCTTAGTCTCAGAGCATAGCACGCCCAAAACGCCCTTACCTGTTTGGGTGCTCAAATGACTCGTTGACAGAACATCAGTGTTGGCCCCAACTTCACTTTTCCGTGCGATGGACTTTTTGGGACCAGTTTCAAAGTCCGAGTCGTTTTTATCTGAGAAAATATCAACTTCTTCCAAATCCTCAACATCTTCTTTAATTGGCACAGCGCGCTCCTCAACTACCATCATTTCGTCCTCTTCAACGTCTTCATCGGGTTTCGACACTAGAGCCTCCTCTTCTTCGGAGAACTGACAAGCAACATCACGAGTATTTGCCTTAGCCTGAGTCTTACATGACACAGAAAGAGGACGACAGAGAATGGCTTTGTTGCGCATGGCGACAGGAGCTGCTGGTTGCAGAATGACTTGTTGCTCGATGCCAAGCTGTCGTACCATGTCGATCGGAACAACTGGGAATTGACCCTGATGAGAAACAAACGATCTTTGGGGTAGTTAAATGCTTTGGCTGCACAAGAAAAACTCAGTGAAACTTTACTAACTCTGAGTGGGCGACGGCCCCTAGGCCTTCCCCTGCTACTAGCACCAGTCATAGCCGCAGCGAGACGGTAGCCGGCATCCCTGTCTACTCCAGTTCCAGTTGTCGTCACCATGGTAGAACCGCCAGACGTGAAGATACTACCCTGTGAGTTGGCAAGGATGCCACTGGCTGCGCCTGCACCAGTTGCCGCACCCAGTGTTATGCCTGAAGAAGGGGTATAACGGGTTCCAAGAGAGAGAAGACCTGATGCAGTGGGTGTAAGGACGGTGGGTTGTTGAATCAGTTGCGTGCCTTGAATCACTTGCATTCCTTGAGCTGAGCCCAAAGGTTTTCTAAAATGAAGATGTAATTACATATGTCAAATACGGAAAAGGGACTTGGTAAATGCTAAGTATGTAAACTTAGACTTGAATATACTTGCAGAACAGGCTCATTTGTGCATGAAAGTATGCATAGCGTGTGAGATAAGGGCCTAACAGTTTACCGTAACACTAGTGTGTTAAGTAGAATACACATACCAACACACATTAATATACGACCGTATTTATTAATAAGTAAGCATTTTATTCGCCAAAAGGCAATCAGGTTGTGTTGAAATAGGGAAGCGAACCGAAACTGACACCTTAAAGTAGATCTCACTTCCATCAAGGGCAATCAGGAACAAAAACAGACCAAACCGAAAAACTGGATACTGCTGAAATTGGGTTCATTGCGAATGGGGTGCAAACATAACCATAATTACGCCAAACACAGCAAAAGACCACAAAGTGGCAATGTGACAAAATACGTAAAAATCAACTCAAAATTTGATCTAACTAGAAAAACATTGTTGATAAAGAAATACAAAGCACTAGATGATGTACTCTAAAGGAGCAATGAAGATATAAAACGGAAATAAAGGGCTGAAGGTAGTTGAATATATGACAATTTTAACGACCGGGATACATACCGTGCAGGGAACCTTCCACCGCGTTGGGCTGTCTGCGAAACTCTGGGATCAATTACCGACTAAAAAAGACGAACATAAAGAAATTTTAGAAGATGGTCAGAGGTTACAATCGGGTACGGTGGTATTGGGACTTTCAGATCTATGTGCCACGATCGTACAGTACCACTTCCTGTATTTTTGATCAGATTAACATTCGAATGCTATCATCTTGAGAGAACGACGACGGTCAAATTGACGAATGATTAGACAGTTCTAATAATTAATGAAGCTGTGTAATTGAGATATACCGAAAAAATGTTTGGACGACGCTCAGTATAACAGATGGCAGGATAAAAAAAGTGCATGATTGAAAGATTCAGCTTCATTGGTCCAAAAATAATCAAGGGAGCACCAACAGGGACGCCCAAATGAAGAAATTACTTTGAAGGTTCCCTGTGTAGGGGGCACTTACACGAATACCAACAGGCTGGATAAGGTGTTGAGCAAGTTCAGGTTTTAGAAGACTTTTCCCAGATTGCACAATCCCGCCTACTTGGACCTGTCCTCCCGCAATTAGCGTGCCAGGATCTTGAACGACTATTGTTCCACTTGCATCAATAGGTACCTCAACAAGTTGACAGCTATCAGGATCAATGGCAGTCATGTTTTGCCTACAAACTGTCATTTGAGCCGCATACTTACCCAAAAACCGCCATAACGCCTTGCACAAGTAGAACAGCGATCTAAAATGACATTAGGCGCGGCAATACAAGGCTCTTTAAAACAAAGAACATTGGGCCATTTCTTCTGCAAATCACAATGACAAATTGTAACTTTTTATTTAAATCATATCAAACAAAATTCAAAAACACTTTCAATACAAGTTAACCAAACTAATTTGCTAGAACAAGGGAGCAAAAGGGCCGAACAATACTTTTGTTTATCTGTATTAACAAAATTTCCTGAAGCCTATAAGTCTTATGGCTCGTTTAAACAAAAAAATCGTGGATACTGGATTCAATAAGTAAATACAAAATATTAAGTCACTTTTTTTAATTATCGTTATTGTAAAATGTTTAAAGTTTTTTTATTTGATATATTTGATAAGATGGCGTATCTTTACTCGTCTTTAAGATTTGCTTCGACGTGTCAATTTGACAAACTTTTGCAAAAGTTTGGGCTTTTTTTAAACTGACGTGGCTTTGTATTTGGAGCAAATAATGGAGTGAGACATAAATTGTTCTTTCTGTTCTGTCTATACTTTTATTTCAAAACATTTTAAATTTTATACTTGAGTTTTTTAGCTTATTTTATTACAACTTGAACATTAAGATTTACTTTTGAGTAATGATAGGTCTGTACCTTTCGGCCAATTCCTTTTTTAGGCCTTATAAATATGAGAATTTTTTCTGAATACGCATTTATTCCAATTTTGAACTAATCTTATGAAATGAAAATTCTTTCGCTTTTTTTGGTCACGGTATTGGTTCTAATGAAGAATGTATTATTCACTCAAGCCCACTAATTTTTATCTAACTTTTTCTGAAAGTCAGTTCATTAGCAACTCCAGTTATTTAGTGATCTCTTAATATATCTGTTTTATGCACAAATAAGTAAGTTTGAACATGTTAGATCCATAATTTTTGCATGCCGTTTTTAGACTGATATTGGGCGAATCCTATTCTCGTAAGAAATAATAAAAGGTGACTTAGCAAAAATTTGTTTTTTTTTAACTGTTGACAAATAGCTCGATCCATGTAATTTTTCTATTTCTTTCTTTATACTCAGACAATTTAAAGTCTTAAATTTACTTTAGCACTTTTCTAAGTGTTTTTGCATGAAACGCCCGTCACCTTGCTCATCGAGAGTAACGTTCTACAAAATCTTAGCCTTCTTTTTAATACGTAACTTAAGTCTTTTTTTGGAATGAAATGCTTCTAATGGCCGGATGTATCTACACCACTTCCTTTGCTTTTAATGGCGACTCCACAAAGATTTTGTGTATATTTTGCGCTAACTAATAATCCAGATTCTGCACATTGAGGCCCCTAGTTTCGTGGAACACATGACCTTCAAATAGCGCAAAATTAAACATGTAGCCGAATTGTGTAGTGACCATAACCTCACAAACTGGATTGAGTCGGTTACAAGTTTCCGACTTTAATCGCGCAGTATAAACCACGCATTTTAATCACAAGCCTTCTGTACATCTGATATAGCATTTGCAAGATTTCCTAGAATCACCTAGAAATATTTTCACTATACGCTGATAGAGTAAATAGCACATATTTAATACATTGAAATTGTCTTTTAGAAAAGAATAAGACATTCACAAAGGGAATGGGTGAATGGGACTTGCTTTTAAGTTAATAATGAAGTAATGCAAAGGGTCGTAGGGGAAATATCACAGCCTGAGCTCCAAAGTAATGGGGTTGCTTGTTCTTGGGAAGCTGGATTGGGAAAAAATGCAGCTGATGTTGGGAGGAATTCTGCGCAGGCGCATTCAAACACTGGCTGCAAGCACGTCTATGTTGAACAGCACTGAAATACTGTGGACCTCTTCTTCCGCTTCTCCTGACGGGCTTGGTCGCTCAAACGGAAAGGGTTGCCATTGTACAACGAGGGTGTCTGGAATGGCAGACATACTATTTTTTACAAGTCTTAGATTTTGACTATTTAGGGATACTTAAATGAAATACAGAATGTCTGACATTGTGCATTTTTGGTTTCGATACACTCTTAAAATCATTTGCCTTAGACGATAGTATTAATAGACATTTGGGCCAAATGAGGAATAGAGCCGATGGAACCTACTTATGCGCAAATTCTATTGGTTAAATGTAGATCGATTGTTGCTTGACAGACCATCCAATCCGAGGCTGTCCTCACCGTGCTTCACGTGATACCACCAAGAACTTTAAAGGATGGAAACTGAATCAACAACGCGCATTCATGTGTCCTCGAAAAGAGTGCTGGAGCCCTGTGTAAACACCCCATGTTTGTGTCCCAAATGATAACCTTCTAGTCTATTATCTTACACAATCAAGACAATAATGCGACCAGATTTTTGCCACTAGTTAAATGAAGGCGACTTACCGCTTGGTAGTATAGCTGAAAATTAGAAGAAGCAAATACAATTAGTTAGAAGACATGTTTGACATGGAATTTATCAACATGCATTACAACAAGTTGTGTTCTATGCTAACTCAGCGTGAAGTACTTCAGAGCTATGCCAAATCACAATTAAATAAAGACAAATCCAGCAAAACATGGTTTTACATGACCTTGACTACCACCTCGTTGCATGCTTGCAAAATCAGCCAGTGCAACTATGCAAATGTCGCCACAGCAAATGCTAAGTAGCCTCGGCTCACCTGGGGTAGACTCCATGTTGAGACCATGGCCGTCGCTACGGCTTGGAACAGGTTCTGAACGTTGGAGCCGGTCAAAGCGCTGGTCTCAAAGAATCCGTGCGCGTACTGCTGCTGCGAGAGCTGAAGCAGGACAAAAAGAGGCGCTGGAAGTCTCCAGGCTTCAAGGAAACGTTTAAGTCACGTGTGTTCAACTGCGCTCAGCTGTCAGTTTGACCTTTGTGACTCAACATGCACGCACGCACACGTGCTCACCCCTTAAAACCTGTGTGTGGGCGGCAAACTTTACGCACGGAGTTGCCTGGTCCCCTTGCATTGCTAATGCACCATCCTAGCAACAGATGGAACCGCGCGCACACGCCTCGCATGACTTGCTACACGTTTTTTGTGCGTAGATTGAAATCAACTTGCTCCACAAATCAAAGCGCATTCCAGTGACTCGGCTTCCACTTTTATCTTTCCTCCACAGAGCGGCGAGCTGACGTCTCAGGGTTGCTAACCTGCTCGAACGCCTTGTTTACACGGATGCGTCAGCCCTATCTTGGTACAACTTATACACGCTTACCTCTACAAGATGGTGACTGTTACACAATTATGGAATGATGAAAGAAAAGCCTCCCGTCAATTGTTTTTCCGGGTTGTTGAATTTGCAAAAAGCCATAATCAAAATCGTAGCTATGACTGGGGACGCTAGCGAAGAGATGCAGGCATTGAAAGTTAGCTCTTACAAGCTCTCCCATGCCAAATCAGGTAAACTGACATAGATGATAAATTTTGGATGAATTTATGCGTACAATGTCCCGTTCGGTCATCAGCACACCAGATGAAGTTAGTTTACACAACCTGGATGCTAGATTCTCTAAGGCCTCGTGTAGCACTGAGAATCGTTTCGAATTTCCAGTCTGTGGTCTGCGCGGCAAGGTTCAACAGGTCCTTTTACGACTCCGTGGTAGCTTAAACACCTGCTTTGTCCAGAATTCGATATTAATATTTGGAAAATCATGTGGTAGGGTAAATTGGAGAGACGATGACAGAGCTTAGAACAGGAAATGCTTAGACTCTAGGCAAAAATGCAGAGAGAAAATACCCTTTCAGCTTCCTCCGTGGGAACCTCCTTTAATCGAAGCAGGTCCGCCTTGTTTCCGACAAAAAAGATTGGAGCCGGTTCATTTCCTTGCTGCGTAGAATTAAAAAAAGAGGCCCTGTTTAGAGTGAATCCAGCGCAGGAAATCAACTTCGCCCCTACCTAACGCCATCAGTTACTTTACTCTAAGTGGTAGCGACCAGACGGCACTACGAGAAGGGGGTAGACTAGTGAGTATTTCAGTAGATTTGCTCACGAAGTTTAAAGTACTGCCGGAAACTAATTAGACTAGTTTTTTTTCAATCATTGGTTAACCAATTTGCCCATTGCTCAATGGTAATCATTGTGGGCAGCAATGTTAACTCGTGGCCAAAATTTTAACGAAATGCTCAATTTGTGAATGGGTTGTGAAGATAAAGGCGAACCGACACGTCCGCATACACTGGTGGTGTTGTAGAACTTCACAACTGCGGATCCAGGTGTAGGAGGTCAAGCATTGACTATGGATCAGCAGGCATTATCTTTGCTCAGCAATAACTATCAGCCCTACTCAATCACTTTTTTAGCTTCTGTCACTCTTGTGACAGTGAATCCCACTGCACGCTGTGACATCCAGGTGGATGTTCTGTTAATTAAGGCCGCGATTGTGGTGGAGGTTTGCATGGGGAAACATTTTAGCTAATCTTGTGGCTGGCGCACTGAAGTCATATTTCGCTAGAAGTCAACAAGTCGTCTAAAAATACTTTCCACCTCTGGCACAGAAGAAGCGACAGGCAAAACCGCACCCATTCCTCGCGCCGTTGTGGGGTTTCGCAAGTGCCGTAAATTGCACACACACTCTGACTTGATCCGACATCCGATGGCTGCTTCCATGTTCCACGAGTCTGGAATGCGCCCGGCGCTTGTTTAACCGTTGTCATTTTCAAAAGCAATTGTTACAAATTCTTGCTTGGATGTGGATTCGGTGTGTTTTACTGATTACAAAAAACACAAACGTCGAATCTAGAGGACATGAATTCTCCTGAAAGCTCCCCTTTTCAGCTATTTTAATATTAAAAGAAGGAATGGATTGAGAAAAGTGGGAGTCGAAAACACCTGTAACCACAACAGCGTGCACAATAGGACGCACAAATTTGGTCAGGTAATGTAGTGAAGTCATTAGACCAAGGGTATCCACCAAAATGCCAAATGATTACCGTGTCTGTCATTCGGAGCCATTCATCACGGATCTTTGAAAAGGAGGCCCGGTTGGTTATGTCGTAGACAATTATAAAACCCTAAAAAATTGAATGATTCGTGTCAAGCAGGCCTTCAAGTTTTCATCAACTTGCGATAGCATTAAACATTCGCCAAAGCATCGTACTGATTAAGAGTGAACACGACTTATACGCACAGGGTTGATGAACATTGGAAAATTTATCCCAATTTTTCAGAGTTCATCTAAGGTCCCAATTCCACGAATTAAAGCCCAAATTTACAACTGTATCAGCTTCTTTTTGGTTGGTTTAACCGATCGTAACGACCGATTCTACCTAGCAACATCAAGTTTGCTTTATTGTAGGAACGAGGTGTACCGTGTGGTATATTTTCATTCCACAACCACCCAATGCGAACCGCGCAAGCCAAATTTACCGCGCGAGAATCCGCTGATGTAGTTACTGCCTGCGTGACGTAGGGATAAGTGGTGAGGTAGCAACGGTAAAAAGATACTAACCTTAGCATCGCGAAACGTCGACGTGGCCAGAGATCGATAGCGCTCCTGCCCAGCAGTGTCCCTACAACGAAAATGATCCAACTTTGCGTTCCATGGACATTCTCATCACAATGGCTTGATGCTACGTGATTACATTTGACAACGAAACCAAATAATTTAAAATTCCTCTATGATTACTCACTAAAAGCGGCTCTCTGACCAGTACCAATTGCTAAACTTTTCCAAATATCACATTTAACTCGTTTTCGTTTGTCGGAATGGGCATAGTTTACACGTATTCTTGAGACACTGCTTAGGGTCACAACTGCGGTCGAAGGGAACGAAAATTTCCTAGACACCAAAAGCTAGCAATCACGGTTTTGTGAAATTTAAGGACAAACAACGCATACAAGAACGTTTTTGCCGAATTAGATGGACTTCCACTCTAAATAAGGGAAAAAACCGAAAAGTAAACGAATCAATCAAAGGGAAAAGCGTCTGCTCACCAGATCTGCAGTTGAATGCGATAGTTGTCGACAGTGTAAATCTTTTCCACAAAGTCAATGCCTGAAATTAATCAAACGTTGGGACTCATCACACATTAAATAACTAATTTCACTCGTAATTGTAGCTAAGAAAACAATTTTAAATGCAGATTTAAGGCCTTAAATTTACTTTAGCTCTCCGGCCAAAATTCCATTTGCCTGTGCTTGAAATGAGCCGTTCTGTGGTTAGTAGGACACACTTAAGGCCCATTTCGGCCCAAAATGAGTCACAGCAAAAGCTACTGATTGTTGACATGTTTCAATAATCATGCCAAGGATGTTTGGAATGGTTCAGCTCACACACCCACATCTTACCAATTGTGGAAATCATTGTGGGATTGAAGGGCTCGCCGACTGCAGACCGAATAAGTGATGTTTTGCCAACTCCAGAGTCGCCGAGGAGAACAATCTTGAATCGCGCGTCGTACCGCCCTCCATCGGCAGTCGCATTCGCCTTGGCAGCACCGTTGCCGCTGCGTTTGAGAACACCCGGATCGAGGCGTCCAAGAGTTCTGGCCAAAGTCCTCGCCTTCGAGGGCTTCGCAGTGTTGGCACTTGGAGGGGGGACCTTGGAGGGTACAGCCCCATTGGTTTGACTTGTATTCATTAGGTGTGACATTGACTCAATCTAAGAAAAATTTGAAGCAAAATTGGATTACTTTAAGGTGGGGGGGGGTACACTTGAGGATTGCTTTTTGGGTTTGTCGTGGTCAAGTAAACCTTACTACTGTAATCACGAACTCCAAAACACGCAGCTAACTGTGAAGGTAAATTCGGACACCGTGTGACTAGAAAGTGGTCATTTAGCAGACAGCACCGGATGACCCGAAAAATTGCCTGCCGCCAGATTTCAGAAATATCATGTTCCGCATAATTTGTGGAAGTGATATCGAAATGCGTCACGGCCACATAGACGTGTCTCTTCGTAGACTGCTGTGTGTATGCCTAGGCAGTTGTATAGCCATGATATGTGCCCAACAAAAAATTGCTGCTTTAGTTTTGTACCCAGATAAAAAAAACATTGCTATATGACTCGGCAAACACAGAAACTAGCATAAATCAACGAGGAGTAGCCACAGGACCTTTGATAGAACGCACAAAATGGAAATGGGCAAGTCAAAGCAGTAGAATACTAAATGCATAGTGGGCATTTTCCAACGCAATACCCAATCGATTGAATGGGAATCAAAGCACCGCGGCGAACTAAGCACCCTATGTTCGGCAACACGATTTGGCCTGTGCCAGACCGCTACCTTTGATGTTGAAGAGTCAGCACAAACAGGTCACTTCGACCAAAGCTGTTCAATCTGAGTTAGCTGATTAAAGCCTGCCACCTTTCTGCTGCCCTCGAGTCCGGTGCAAGGTCCGAAGTCCACATTTTGCACGCCGCGATCGGGTGCTCAGATTGTTCCAACTGTGGACGACCTTCAGGCCTAGCCAACCGACTACCCCCATTCCAATTTGTGTGCGTTATGAGACTGGCGACATTATTCGCAAGGCACCTCGATGCGGGGGTCAGTAAATCCTACCACTGAAAATGGCGAAATGCTTCAAGCACGGACGCATTCGCTGTTTCTGCAATTTGATCAGTAATTGGCAGTAGTGGAGACAGAAAAAAATTGGCTTCGATTTTACTGCATCTCTCCACAATTGACGTAAATGGTGCCGACGGAAATGCACTTTCTGTAAGGTCGACTACCAGGTGTAACTTGCTTCAAGCATGCTTAATGCTTGAAATTAAGAATGGCAACGCCACAGCCCCCCGGCCAGTGCACAGGCGGCAGATAATCTGACCCACACTCCCGAACACTCGACCTCGTTAAACCGGCAGCACTGATAGCCCGTAACCTTTAACAGGGCCAACTTTCGTGTGTTAGGTTGCCTCAACTGATTTTCGTAACATAGATTTTCCTCAAAAACGGCAGATTCGTCTGGTTAGTACCAAATGACCGTGAAGTGATCGTGCGTCGTGCATGTAATGTGCGTTTCATAAGGGCAAGGCGACGTTAACAAAAAGTCGATTGCATCAAATAGACCCTACGAATCCTAAAAAGTATCACAACATGCATGGAAGACTGGGAGTTAGGATCGGGACATTCTGCTAAGGGTGGACAGGTGTGTGACGCTTAAGGGGTCAAACCATCACCATCTGCACGTCCTGTAACTAGGCCACACGCACGCTACCAGGCGCATAAGTGAGCCTTATCTGCAAAAAAATTCACTTTTTAGAGTCATTGTATATCAAAGTGTAAGAACAAGGACTCAAAAAGCCAACGACATCAAATTCACCATGATAATGTCAAAACAGATTGAACTGGACACCTTTAAATCTCAGTTGCCAACTCGTTTTGCCTTGGGCATGAATCACCTCGTTAGTTAATGAAGGAACCGCCTCGAATGCGATTGACCTGGACAACATCTGTTAGAAATGTGTGGTAGTTGCAAAGAAAGAGTAAAAGTCGGCTAATTCTGCGGGGATAGTGGTCGGTGGCTCAATCAATTTACTCTGTTAATCGCTTTTCGTAAATACTAATCTGGATTGATGTTTTGAACCAGTTTAAAACCACTTTAAATCCAACAAATTCGTACAATGCTCTATAGCTGCATGAAAAAGTAAATTAAAACAAATGTTTTGGCAGCAAATGGACCAAATTCTACTTTATATCCATTATTTAGCAAACAGTGGTCTACTGAGGTCTTAACCGAGGAACACGGAAACGTAATTTTCGACCAGGTAGTCGTAATGTGCTTGTGCATGATGACACTACTTTGGCTCACTAATAGCGCAGATTTTTCCCGAACCGTGTGACTCCTTTCTTACTTAATCGCAGAAAAAACGTGTACGGGCTTTTTCCCTGCTTGAATGCTGCTTGCTAATGTTAGGAATAAGCTTCAGACGAAATTTGACGCAGTACTTAATGCCGCCTGTCCAGATTCACTAGGCCAAATGACGGACCGCCCGCTAAATTGAAATCGTTTGGCGCCGAATTACGTACGGGACTGATAAGTGACACGGCAATGCGATTTCGACAACCTGTCCGAGTCATTTCTCTTAACAACTTCAGTTCCAGAGAAGGCCGCCACCACCGTTTAATACTTCGTTCTCCAAAAAGATAATGTGATAACGATAGACGCTTCTTCTCTCATCCTCTCTCAATCTCATTTTAACATAACCGGTCAACTTTGAAAGCAATTATACCGAGAAGGGCTTGTCCGCGCAATTCATAGGTGTTTCAAAAAATTCTTCTTATCTGTGAATACCATCAGTTCTATCGGAAATGCAATAATTATGCCCAAGTTTGCACTTCAGGAGTCCGCGTTTAAGCAATCAACGCAAGACGTGGCAACACGGTTGCAAAGACATTTCAGGCAAGATTCATTATAACGATATTCTGCTACACCTTTAATCAACATTGCCGTCTCACATTAAATCTGCAAACAGGGCCTTTAGTAACGCTTAGATCATGGCTTCTCACAGATTCACTGTTCTCCACAAGTTAGGGTATACCTCTGAATCGTTTTGCGGTTTGTGTAAGCAGAACAACGTGAAAGGAACTTGCAATGCTTCTGTGTTGACCCGGGAAAAGTACGAGAAGACATTTAGTTCATGCAGTTCAAAACAAACCCAGTATACCCAGCCAGCACACGCACATATTAATGAGGCGTGCAGTGGAGAAGACTATACCCGTGAATTTGAAAAACGCGGGGTGCATCAATCCAAACACCAACTCCAAGGTCGTAACGCTTTGGCGCCAAACCGAGAATAAGCATGCATGTTCTTTTTGGCGTACGCGTTGCAAGGCAAAGGCAACTGTCAAAGTAGTCGATCAACCCCTTGAGGAAACTGCATTCTTTTTCACAGGTGTATGAATTACATCCTAACAGTGAGAGATGTCAGAAAAGGCGGCAAACAGGTGGATTTTAACCCGTCGAAAGCCTAGATACCTTACCAAACACTGGAAATGGCGACTTCCAAACTAGAGCTTTGTAAGCCTAGATCACTCATGCTGCTGGTTCATGTTCACTTATTTTTTGCCCGTCCAATGCATGGCCGCCATTATTTTGCGTATGTAATTTCCCACTCTCAGCCAACAAAGATAGGGCAGCGTCTACGCTGTGGACGCTTTGAGCGTGGTTCTGTACACAATCGCCTAAAAACTGTTTCCAGCCTCTGTAACCTCCTCTATGTAAAAATTAACATCTGACGCCACACTTGCCAATCTACAGATGCAGCCTCGTTGCGTGGGTTTCGAGTTGCACAGCAGTCAAAAAAGAAAAAAATTTGACGGTTAGTAGGCGTCAAGTTGATGGCGTCGTGAATGTACACTTTGACCAGACGGAGTTACGTGTGTGGTGACTACATTTGGCCTAATTAGCAATCAACACACCAACAGTGCCACCGGGAAAATTTGATGTGCAGTGGATTGGGCAGGACATTTCAACTTGGCGAAGGCTAAATAATCAACCTTAACGTGGTCACTGTGCTCATGAATTCAACTGTACGTGGGGCCCAAATTTGGTACCAGTCAAAACACATATTTAATAGGGCTATGAAGAAGCAATTATATTTTTTGTCTTAAAATATTTTGATATGCAAATCACCTAAATTGAAGTCCTATAATCTTCATTAAACTGGTCGGCATTAGGAAGATTAGGAGCCAACTTATTTGATCGGCTTGAAGTTAAAGTATAGATTTAGGTCAATCGGTTTTGGTTTTTGAAAAAAAAGCTTTTAAATCAAACAATAAAGGTCAGTTAGAACACTTGCAATGGCAAAAACAAAAATCTGCTAAGGCATTGAAAATATCTTTGTTAGTTTAGATCTGGATACTCCGATAGTTCAGTCGAGACCTGAAGCATGCTTCAGCACAATGATAGCATTAACATTAGTTACGTTAACTTGCAGCTTCGACTGATAAAACAAGAACCCCAAATGTCCCAGTACCTTGGCCCCATGACTCCCAGTTATAAAAAACAGGAACTTCGAGTTAATGCTTTTGGTTTTCTTAGAAGGGCAACAGGGGTTATCAATCTTCGCAAGAACTTTACCAGACAACTGGGTGGAGTTTAACGAGTTTTCATACTTGTAGCATCATTGTGTGGGTGCTGTCACCAGCCCGGTGAGTTAGACAAGGCCAGCTGTCAAAGAGTTCGATATATGATGAATCACAGTGGTGTGATGTATCATTGTGGTAGCACTGGAACACTTTTATGCTCTACCTTATCCACGAACTTACCCAGACGGCGTAACCTGCTAGCTAATCCGTTGTTCCTCTGTAACGTCACAGTCGGTTAAGGTGGTAGTGGTGGTGAGAAAGACAGAACGGCCTTTTTCGACACAAAGACTACACTTTAGGCCTACCTTAGCCGGATGTTTAAACGGCATCGATGAGTAAAACACTGCCTCAATACCAAAAGGAGGACTTAGAGTTCTTCCGTACCAACGCAGAAAACGTGAGTGCAACTAAGCAACTCTTTTGGTGGCTTTTAACTTCTGAAGGAAGAAGCTTGCTTTTTTATCACTTCCGTGGCCTCTCAAAGCCGCAGTCTGCAGCTCTGAATCGAAACCACGCCTAAAAATACTCACTTGACAACCAGCACAGGTTTAGGCACCTGAAGAGCCACTTT